TTCATTTTCTGGGATTCGAACCATCGACCATACGATCACAAGCATAGCGCGCTAACAAGATAGGCCACGCGCCCCATCCGTTGGAGCGGTTTTTTTTGCAACTTATATGTCTGCTGAATTCGTTTTTAAACATTGTGTGGCTAGTCTCGTATTTAATTTTTTGCTACCTGTTCAGGATTGTATTTCTAACATTGTGGTGATGTTGACATGCTCAATAATTTAATATTACTGTGTCTTCTAATCGTTTTAAAGCGCTTTGCTGATCGTTTTATTGCAAGCGTGTTGAAGATACGCGAACATAGCCTCGGTAAAGTCGCTAGGCATCCATAATAGCCAACGAATGCGATCCAATATAATCCACAATCTTATTTTGCACGTTTTGCCGGTCGCGTTGTCCGTGTGTGTTTCAAATCTCCGTCATAAAGTAAATTTACCGATTATTCGTGATGCGTGGAGTGCACCTTAGTTTCAAATGTGTCTGAAAAAGAAGGAAGCTACTGTGAGCCGTGCAACTACGTCGAATCTGCTCAACAGCCGAGGTCGTGGCACGGTCGTTCCAAAGTAAGTTCCTTTCTTTGTTCGTTAGGGCTAGATTATTCTTTCCTCCCTTCATAATGCTTGTTATTGTCTCTAGATCACTTGCTTGTATCGTTGTTACTAATTGTGCGCGAATGGTGTTATGCCAGGCTGTGTTTCTTCTTTTTTTCCCCGATGCAGAGCACTCCATCCTCGCACCAATTAGCGGTCACAGATGAGCGCTTAGGCTGCATACTCGCTCCAGGTCCATCAGTAGCGGCGGAAATTTTCGGGACATGGGGGCGGGCGGGCGGGCGGGCAGGCAGGCATGCTAAGACGGAAAAATAAAGGGAGGGGGGGTTGGTTTGATTGCCTCCCTCCACCGTACTGTTTACTGGTAAACTAGAATGTCTGGAAGAGCGCGGTGCCCCTCCATTGCCGAAGCTCTAGGTTTGACACCACAGGTGGATTCTGTGTGCGTATTTGCGTCCGGAGAGCTGGACCAGGCAAAAGTCAGCGATTGATTGATCGAGCAGGCCCGTAGCTTCCGCCGCCCAGTCGCCTGCAAACGACTTCATTTTCTCGATGTATAACCGGAAAAGAATTGCCAAAAATTGGTGCCGCGGTAAAATCACCCCACGGTGATTAATGCATAGCATGCCACTCCCGATCGCAAAAATTTGTGCCCGCGAAAAACTTTTTGACACCGCTTCTACAAGCGTGTCCTTATTTTGAACTGTGTCGCGCCAATTTATGGGAGGTATATTTTGTTCAGTGTAAGTATATAGTGTTCATACCTCACCCAATTCCTGTTTTTTTCTCTTTGGTACTGCCTTTAGCGGATGGTGTAGGTTGTAATTGTTTTTGGTAGTAAGGGGATGAGCTGGGGCTAATTGAACACCTTGAAAATTAGTTCACAAAAAGTCATAGAGACAAGGAGGGTAACACATAGACCACATGCAAGCGCAGACTCAACTCGCATAAACAGAGAAGAAGGAAATAAAGAATGCGGAAGGAGCTCGAGCAGAGGCCCAAGTGGGAACGCGCTGATTTACCCATTCGCAAGTGCAGATTTTAAAACCATAATTTTCTCGTCGTTTAAGGTAACAGATCGATGGCTAATACATCAAAACAGCTCAATTTCTATCTAAAATTCACGATGGACTGTCAGCTATCTATCCACTGTTTACACTGCTCGTGTATGTCATCCCTAGAAAAAAACGTGGATAATTGGCATATACTATGAAAAACATAAAAGAGGATTATTTTAGGCGTTTATTATTCATAGTATGGGCAACCAATGTGTCTGCACATTCGTCTGTTACTTGAGCTAACAAGGAAATTGTTTTTAGCCTTGTGGCTATGATTGAATTAACACGTTCCACTTGGACCTGTTTAGACTTTTGCTAAAACTCCTTCCGCATTCTTTTTTTTTATTTTTGCTATAATTTATGTGACTTGGGAGTCTGCAGTTGTATGTAGTGTATGTATTCCTCGACCCTTTATTCCTTGTTTTTTGTGTACTATTTTTTAATGTGTTCAGTTAGAATGAACTCACCACTTTACTACATGGAAAGGATGTTGTTAATTCTAGAACTTCTGTAAAACAATCTACCTGGCATCTTTGCCTCGCGCCACGGTTCCTGAAGCTCAGTTCTCCGAGCACAGCCTTTTTGATTTCTCTGATGCTCTCTTCTTTCTTTTGTTTTTAATGGATTGAGTTGCTAGTGTGCACCTGTCTGTGTTCTACGTGTTCCTGTCCTTTTGTCCTTGTCTCTTTTTTTTTGTGCACTTTTTTCAAGTTGGTCCACAATATTTTTTATTGTATATTGTACTCTGTTTTCATCTTTATACTTACTGCAGCCCTTGATAAGCAGAAGTTGGCATTCACTTTCACCATCCCGATGTGAGTGTCCTAGGACGACACAGGATGACAGTCTCCTCTGCTGAAGTCCAGGCTTCATGGGAGACTGCCAAGGCTGTTTATGGTAAGGCGCTCTATATATTGGGCAATACAATAGCAACTTATTGCTGCTGGGATTGTTCTAACATAGACTGTGTTTATGGGCTGGCCTTCAGCAATTCTGATGCCACTCGCCTGGAATGAAAGCCTCTAGGGAAATCGCACGTTTCATTCGTAAGCGGAATGCAGAGTTGACAACAGAAGTGCATCACTACTTGCATGCAGTGTTGCTGGGTGTTGTATTTTTTTGTATTTCTTTATTTAGTGTTCCCAATAATGGCTAAAGCCTTCCCATTGGTGCGCTTGTTAGCCCCTAGTCCCACTAGAGCGACAATACAGAAACAAACGACAGCGACGAGCCTCAAACCAGAGTCTCTGTCGCGATTTCACAGGCTTGTGCATAGAATAAAAGAGACTACACTCGGATACAAGTATTACGCACGCGAGGGTATCTTCGGCAGGCTTACAATCACCCGGGGTCACTTCACGAGCACCGAACGACTATAAACGCCTGCGAAAGGTATACCATCGCGAGGATACCGCATGTGTTGAAGGCTTGTCGGTGTCGTCTGTTTCTGTTTGTCGCTCTAGTGGGACTTGGGCATAAGTAACAACACACAAACACAAATGAACGGCAAGAGTGGTAAACAGTGCCTCTCACGTCCTTCGCCACCGTGCCGATTGGTTTTCAGAGAAGTTTCCAGTATTAATATCTATAATATTTTGTCATATATCGCACAAGGACACAACCAGGAGCTGTACCTACAATTCAACACTCACAAGACTTGCGTGAATACACCCCATAGCTGGTCGCATTTTCAGAGTCATTTTAATGTTGCGAAAATAAATAATGACATTGGCATATTTGTCGTGCCAAATGCTGTCACACCTGTTCCGAACTCTGGTCTCCACGTACTGCGGACTTTTTGCATCGATTCTTGTACATCTCTGCCTCACTTATGCCCAAAAACATTTTACTCGGTCTATCAAGCCGTGTAGTCAAGAAGCTATAATCTGTAAAACTCTTCAGAACACTCCTTAGTTGCAAAGCTTTGCAGTAGATATTTATGAAAAATATTCCGTGCTATTTCCTAACCTCGAATACTTGACTGCAGGAGCATGGTATGCATTCAACATACTCTCTTTGACAAGCTAAAGCATCATAAATGTTATGTCCACGACCCTTACTATAACTATTAGGTTTTTGGCTGACAGTGTCATAGAAGCTGCGTATGGGCTGGACCAAACTGCAATCAGCCTTGTGTTATGTGGCACTGCTCTCCATGTATACACAGGGGCAGGAGTGCAGCCGCATTGCTCCAAGCTGGTGGGTGGTTGGTTGACCCCACTCCCACTCTCAGCTTTTATTATAGCATTACACACATCATGTGACAGTCCTGCACATTGTTCTGACTCATGTCATATATTTTTTATATTTTTCACAAAATAAGTGGCAGCAGCACCAGCTCCTGTGATGCAGAGCATGTGCAACACAGATGCAGCCTTCGGTGGTGCAGCTGCAATACCTGCAACCTTAGATGGAGCAGCTGGTACAGTCGGACCTGCATCCGCTGAGGCAGCTGCTAAAGAGCCCGCTGAGGTGGAGCCATATCAGCTGCTAAACTTCCTAGAATGCGAAATGGTAAGTTGATTTGGTAAGCTTTTGCTTTATAAGAGATACCTCTGGAAAGAAGGCATTTCTATGCTTGCACAATGTCTTCAAGATGAAAAGGCCTTGACAATTTGTCATTGACCATCTAGATCTCGATAAATGTTGCTCAAATAAGATCTCTCTTTCAGCACCATCGCCACAAATTATTCTTTTTTGGTGTTGCATCACTTCAGCAGTGGTGTAAGACCCAAGTTTTAGTGTCTTGAAAAACATATCTAAGGCGACATCTCTTTGTAGAAAGTTTAAACCTGCATCTCTAACATTCTGCTCAACATTTTGAGTGCATTAGGCGGAAAGACTTGGAGCATCGTATTCCCCATTAATTACCTTTGGCCCATACAACAAACCCCTTTTCAGAAGTGTGTGCATATCCAAGGCCGCCATTTCTTAAAAGCGGATTCCGAGTACGCGTTGGAAACAAGCACCGTGTCAGTGATTGGCGTGGATAGACGTGAGTGCAACGTCAGCATTTCACATGGTCTTCGATCCAATCACAGCTTTCGTGTCCAACAAATGGCGACTGTCAATGTTGCTTGCTTAGGTTTTGAAAATGGTCTATTCTTCCTATGTTCACCAGGTACATGGGAATGAAACTCAGCACTCTTGGAGCATAAAGTGGCTTCTTCTCTTTTAAAGCGTTAGTTTTATAGTCCCAGCCACGCTCGAGGTTGCATGATAACCCCACACACAGGTAAAAAAGTGCCGCGCCTTGCACCGGCAACTCAAATCAGTGGGCGCATCTTCTCATGTTCTCTGTCCATTACGCCGACCGAAAAGTTCGGGGGGGGGGGGGGGGGGGGGGGGGGGGATTCATGAAACACCATCTAAGGAGGCAAAGGGGGCTGGAAAGGGAAGAGCGAAATCACAAGGCCAGTCAGTGATCGCACTGTCAGGTTTTTTTGAGCCGGCCAAATAATCTTCGCCAGCAGCCGACACTACAAGAGGGCTTGCCACCCAGTACCCCTTGCAGTTGACAGCGGCAGAATCAGGGAACGTAATAAAAGAACTTGATAGCTCGAGCACCGTAGTAGTGTTGTATGGGAGCTTCGCAGGATTTTTGAAAATGATTCAACTGAAAAAGGAGTGAAACTAACGAAACTTGCTTTAATCAATATGCACGAAGCAGCATTTCATGAAAGGAGGATCTCACCACCGAATACACCGGTTTCGCTTCCTATTCTAATTTTTTATAGATGCATTTCTACGACGGTTGATGTCAAAATGACGTGGAAAGCCTGGGGTGACAACATAGTGAACCAGGACATAAGGTCAAGCATTGCTGTGAAGAACCTGGCCATTGCTCTGTGGGGATCCAGTGTCCTGCAGAGGACTGTGGTCGAAATGGCGTCGAATGTCAGTCTTAACAAGGACAGCAGGCTGCCTCTGACACCCAAGAAAGCGGCATTCCTAAGAGGCGAGTGCAAATTATCTCACGTAAGCGTAACCTAAGCAGTTATTTGAAAAATCTTCTCAATCAAGGCAGTATCTCGGCAGCTAGTTGGTATCATACTGGGAGTTCACAATGTTTCGGTGATCTTTGGATGGACCGCATAAAACTGATAGGATTGAGCACACAGCTGTGACATAATGGTGGAAGCTTTCAGTAAAATTATAGGAAGATTAGGTAACCTCGGTAAAACACAAAAGCTATATTTTTTTTTTATTTTTTGCGTGCCAACACCAGATTTATATTTTTTTTTTTGTGCCACTGGCCTTTATTTCGGCTATATGAAGTAAGCAATGCGTAGGGCATTTCCTTTTACAATCATTTGCAGTTGCAGTACATGCTATAGTGACCCTGAATAAACTAATGTCTTCACAAAAAAAAAAGAAAAAAAAAAGCTCTACGAAATTTTCTTTTCGTGGAGAGAATTGTTGCAATTTGCAACAATTCTCTTCTTTCTTCTTTTTGACGCAAGGGGGTTTATGTCCTTATCTTTGCAATATTAAAACCACCGCTTTCAGGCATTCTCTTGTAACATATCAGCGAAATATGCCCATTTATCTGGTCACTTCAATGTGCCCATGGAACATTGCTAACTCCCAGTAGGTATTGTTTAAAATTACAGTAGCTCAAAGTACTTGTTGTGCAGTGGCAAATAAAAGCAGGGTTGTAATATGTGATGTATATTAGTACTCTCAATAACTGGTAGGATGTTTGAACACTCTTAATCACTTTCTCTAAACTGAATTCTGCATCAGCATTGTACTTCTTTTTTAATGGTTTTATCTTGGCTTGCTCAAACATTAGATAGGAGAGGGCACCATATGTTGTGTCTCAAACACGCGGCCTGCTTGGCGTTTGCTAGCGCCCCGTGCAGTCAGGCATAAGTGTAAAAAAATTACATTAAGGGTATAACCAGCACTTTTTTCTAGGGTTTTTGATGGTGGAAAACGGTGACATTGTGACGGTATCTTTCATAAGCCCAATACTTGTCAAAACCAGGAACTGGACATAAAAAGCTTTCAAATGGCGATGATTACGAATTGCTATAGAGTCAAACCCACTTATGTCGAACTCGCAAAAGACTGTCTACCAGTTCGATATAGCGGGTAATTCTACATGAAAGTTTGAATGAATCTGACAACAAACAAACACGACATATTTAGAAAAGTTGTTTACTCTCGAAGGAGCGTCTGTACGTCATAAGGGACACTCCACGGCTATTCAGTGGCCCCTTCTTCGTTTTTCAAGATCTCATTGGATCATCCTCTCCCCACTTCCGGAAAGGCCGACGCGGTTGCCCCCCCCCCCCCCCCCCCCCCCTCCCTCCCGCCCAAAAAAGGCAAGCTTTTTCTGCAAGCTGGCTTTCCCCGAATGCGTCGCCGTGCTGGGGGAAAGCCAGCTTGCAAAGCTAAACGGCGCTCTTGGCAGTTCTATCTATCGGAAGACGCTGCAATTTTCCTTCGACGTAACCGCATTTTTCGCTATGCATTTTTATAGCAGCTACTAGTCTGTTCACAAAGTTTGATAAAAAGTTCGATATAATCGGGTTCAGCATCATACAGAATGTGCCAATTTAGTTTGAACGTAATTTAAAAAAAAGAGGGCGAGAGATTTGTGGGGCTCGGCGGACATAGATAAGGGGATAACCGTCACAATATGTTGACCAATTAACCCATATTTGTTAATTAACTTTTTAATTATTGATTTTATAGGGCATGTTGAAATTGCATTCTTCAAGTGCGTCATTATTAAAGGCTATTCCAAATGAAACTGTTCATGAAAGTGATGTGGCATGTGATTTTAATGAACATTAGTTCAAGCCTTACGTCTACAAATTGCGCTCCTTTAAATATTTTGTCATTGCATATTTTTCAGAATGCCTAATGATGAAGCTCCGTGGCCAAAAGCACCATGCAGATGTCATTGCTGTAATGTCGAGGACAGCAAAAGTAAACCACATACTGGGAGAAAAAATGAACGACCGGCGAAAGCAAGAGAAATGAAGAGCCAATCGGTAAATAAAAATAGAACCAGCCGGTTCTTGGCAATGGTCTGCAGTGAAATACGGTGTCAAGCATGCATTCCCCCACAGGTTCCCACAGAGATTGCCCACAGAGCATGGGGTTATGAAACCCTATGGGTTACCCACACGGCTCCCACGGGACTTTGGTCCTACACAGCTCCTATAGGATCTCTGCAGGACCCACACAGCTCCCGTAGACCCACACAGACTGTGCGGGGACCCATGGGGACCTATACACCCACACACTATGTGGGGACCTGCACACCCAAACAAACTGTACGGGGACCCATAGGGACCCGAACACCCACACAATTTCTGTGGGACCCACACGGTTTCATAACCCCATGGGTCTGCGGGTTTTTGGAGCGGGGAAGAGCGCTACGTCCTTCCAACTGTGGAGGAAACGCTTGGCCAGCTGGGGGCGGTGGCAGTGTTTTTGAAGTTGGATGCTATTTGCGGGTTCAATCAAATCCGCCTCTCACCCTCGTGCCAAGAGCTGACCACAATGATCACCCCAATTGGCCCTTTTTGCTTCACACGACTACCTTTTGGGATAACATAACCTCCGGAATATTTGCAAAGACGGATGTCGGAGATCTTGAGTGGACTTCCCGGAGTTCTCAACCTCATGGATGATGCACTTGTCTTCGGCAAGGACCAAGCTGAGCATGATGCAAACCTGCACAAGACTCTCAAGCACTTAGAGAATACTGGAGTCACCCTCAACCAAGCCAAGTGTGTCTTCAGCACAAGGAACGTTACTTTCCTTGGATGTGCAATATCGCGCCATGGTGTTCGACCGCTCCCAGCAAAAGTCAGGGCAATCAATGATCTTCCGGCTCCAGAGAATCTTGCCGGCGTCCGTTAGATTCTAGAAACGGCGAACCATCTGGCAAGGTTTCTTCCGAACTTGGCACAAATTAGGGCGCATCTCAGAGACCTGCTTCCAAAAAATTCAGAGTGAACCTGGGGTCCCCCACAAGCATCCACTCTGCAAGGCGTCAAGGATTTTCTGTGTTCAGATTGTTGCATGGCTCACTTCAATCCGTCGTATCCCACAATACTCTCGGCAGATGCGTCTTCACACGGATTAAGAGCAGTTTTGCTTCAGGTCCAGCCGGATGGGAGGGAAAGAGCTGTGGCCTTCGCATCAGGGTTCCTTACCCCGACTGAACGCCGATACGCTCAGGTGGAAAAGGAAGCATTGGCTTTGACCTGGGGAGCAGAGCGATTTCAAGACTTTTTGCGGGGCCTAACAGCAATATTCCAGACCGATCATCAACCTTTGCTGACGCTCTTGGGAAAGTCGGCACTGGGTGTGCACCCTCCTAGTATTCAGCGCTTCCGCATGCGTCTGATGCGGTTCAGCTACAGAATGCAGTGTGTTCCTGACAAGAGCATCGTGACGGCTGATACTCTATCTAGGGCTTCAGTGAGTGAGGAAGTGCCAGCGGAGACACTGACCTGTGCTGAGGTTCAGTCATTCACTGTTGGAGCAGTGATGGGACTCCGAAGCAGCACTTTGAATCGAGCCAAAAAAGCCCAATAGATAGACAAAGTTAGCCAAATGCTTCGGGAGTACTGCATAAACGGATGGCCATTAAAGTCAAGACTTCCTCTCGACGTGTCGCCGTTTTAGCAGAACAGAGGAACGCTGTCCCACTGCGAAGGCTTTCTCCTCAACCGAACCCGCCTTCAGCGACTCCACGAGGGACGTGAGGGAATTGGACGATGCAGGCAGCGCGCGAAAGAAACTGTCTGGTGGCAAGGCCTGTCGTCCGAGCTGAGATGGGTTGTCAATAACTGTGTTGTGTGCACGAAGGTACGTCAACAAAACGCCGAGCCTCTCATGCCAACGGTGACGCTATCTCTGCAAAGGGAAGTGGTTGGGCTGGACATTTTCATCCACGAGGCAAGGAGAATTTGCTCTGCGGTGACTATAGGTCTCGCTTTCCCGAGATCGGCTTTGTATCGTCAACGAAAGCTGAGGCTGTCATCGAACGTCTGAAAAGCATATTCGCCCTCCATTGGATACCAGCAACGGGAGTAAGTGACAATGGACCACAGTTCTCCTGTGGTGCTTTCGTAGAGTTTGCCGGGCACTACGGTTTCCAGCACACTACCAGCAGCCCTCGTAGCCCTCAGGCAAATGGAGAGGCCGAGCGCACGGTGCAGAGCAGAAAGGATCCGCTTGAGAAAGCAGAGGACCCGTACTAAGCTCAACTCTCGTACCGGGATACACAGGGTCCAACAGGGCGAACTCCAGCCGAAGGCCTCATGGGGCGACATCTGCAGACGCGGATCCTGGTGTACCTAGCTCTCCCGACTCTCGGCCAAGTCAACAACAACGTCGCGACTAGACGCGATCGTCAAGTCAAAGAGTGCCAACGGACACACTTCGACCGCCGACATGCAGCTTGACGGCTATCTAAACTGAGTCCCGGATCGACAGTGTGGTTAAAGGGCCTCAAGTGCCCAGGGGAGGTCCTCCGTCAGGCGGACACGCAAAGGTCTTACTGGGTAAGAACCACAAGGGAGGACGTCCGTCGCCACCGGAGAGCCCTCAACCGAATTCCGACTCATACTGGTCAACGCGAAGACCTGGTATTGTGTCCAGCCAACACGACCGCTCCTGATGGATCTGCCTTACCCGGGAAAGACATCATGCAGCATCCACCAAGATTGCAGCAGGCTTCGCAGTCTCAGTCATCGACTCAAGACTGCAGAGTTCCCGTGGCAGTGAAGAAGGCTGGAAGAAAAGTGCCCACGCCCCCAGCGGTTTGGTGAATAACTACAGATTACTCAAAGCTCTTATTTATCCTCAGAGGGAGATGTGGCGTGAGTCTCCTTTGAACATCCCACTTTCTATACGCGAGGCACGCACGCGACTGCCGCGGGGCCCGTGACTTGTGGAGGGTCACGAGGAATAAACATTCTTTGTTGGTTTGCCGTCCCTACTGAAAAAAACCCATTTGGCGCCTATATGAAAATAAACGGGTTCATACCGGTAACAGTTTAACCATACCGGTCACCAGTTTGTCAAAGGGGTCGCCCGTATGGCTCAGAGGGGTCCCCCGTATGAGCCATAACGGTCACCTATTTGGACAAACAGGTCACTCCTTTGGCAAACGGGTCGCTCGTCTGGGCAAATGGGCGACTCGTTCGGGCAAACTTCTCGCACGTTTGCTCAAACCGGTGACCATGTTGCAAACTGTACCGGTTTAATCAAACGGCTCTCCGGAGCCCGTTTGATATTGAACGTACAGATCGGCGGAGTGGGCTCGCCTAGCGTTTCAGCCGTGGCAGCCAATGTTTCCGGAAGGCTCGGAGCGCCGGATCATCGATTTCAGATCGTCCGCGTAATGCAAGTAATATTAGTAATAGTAATATTTATATTTCAATTGCACTGATGTTCGCTTATACTGCAACTAAAAATAACACCTTTTTTTGTTGTTGTTTTACGTAAACGCGCGACGTTGCTGAGCCGATATTTTTGACAGAACTTTCAAACTTTGTCCATCTTTGTTGCCTCAATTTACTTATTCAGCTCGAATCTCTCGCAGAAGACGCGACCGCGTGAATGTACGTCTAGACTCCGTTTCACTTTAATTCAAGACACAGCGAAGGTAGCACGCGTACACGCGGCTGCAAGAACATCGAGCATTGCGAGAGCACGCCCGCCGTTGCAGCAGTCAAACTACGAGCTCGCGCTGAGTACTTTCTTCGCTCGGGCGCAAGCCGAGCTTCTGGCCGCCCCGCCGCCATTTCCAAGGCTCGAGCGTGGTAAAATGCGTGCGCGCGCGCGCGCGCGCGTATGTTTTTCGAGGCTACAAAAACACATCTCACTGGAATGCCTGGGGAGAGGGAGAGGGGCTGTACCGATGGTCCCGGTGGCCTTGACCTCGCCCCCTCCCTCCTCTCTTGTAACCCCTGTCACGTGACCCGCAGTAACTCGCGAGCTACACGCTGATAAGCATTGAGATCCGGAAAGGTGCGCCTGGCAGCCCCTTTTTTTTTTAGTCTGCTTGTTGTCAGTTCCAGTTTCAACTTCGCTCGTCCACCTGCTTCCATCTGTCGTCTAACCCTGCGGTCTTATTAGGATGTCTCTCGACAACGTATTGGATATGCACCAAAGCTATGAGTGTTCGAAAAGTCCTACGCCTATATCGGCAACATGCGATTCTTCAAAGAAGTCAGGAATTCTTGCGGTTTGGTTGGGTTCGGCAAATGACAGCTTGTGTGCCACATCGTGTTGAAACTTCCAAGGAGCCGTTCCCTGTCGTTTGTGTTTGTGTGGTTGTTCTGCTTTGACCGTGTTGACAAATATCACGGATTACATCTTTCAAGTCCGCTATTTTTATGGTAAGTGCCCTGCCATCTACTTCTTGGCAACGATTGACCGTTCTTTTGCTCGTACTCTTCCAGATTATCTATATAATTATGCAGCCACCATTCTCGCGGCAGCCGGGCAAATAATTTCCCGAAAGTCTACCTTCATAGTCTAGAATTACCTCGGTTCTTGTTTGCTTTGCAATCTTCTCAGTTGTATAAAAGCTTAGAGTGCCACTCACATATTACAGATCGCTAGCACGTTTGTACTTGTCTACAGAAGACGTAATAAACTTTGACGAGAATTGAAAACAATCTTTTGTGTCTGTTTTCCTGTCCATTTGCAAGCACCTACGTGAGCACATTTGTTCTACGTGTTTCCTCCATGTTATAAATAGGTTTGAGTTTCGGAACGCCTTAGATAAGTTTAAGATAACCAACCTACCAGACGATCCCCATTTAGGGCTAGCGCATAATTTTCCGATTCGAATGGCACGTTCAAACGTGTGGTCACGTGCAATGTCGAACGGGCACCCGTATCAAACGGGCACCTGTATCAAACGGGTACCTGTATCAAACGGGTACCGTTTCAAACGGCTACCCGTATCCCATAATCACGTTTGATCCAAACGGGTCGACCTGTTTGATAGAAACGGGTCGACCTGTTTGATTGAAGCGGGTCGACCCGTTTGAATTTCAATTTTTTTTTTT